TATATATATATAAACTAGAGCAAACGGGAAAAATTTTTTTAAATTCTATCCGTTATGTACCTATTAATTGAATCCCTTGCAATGATTGTAGTTCCTCAACAAATGTTAATTATCATTTTTAAAATAACGTTTTTAATATCTTTTGATATCAAAATGACGATAAATAATATCAGTTTGTTTGCTGGATTTATTATACACAGAGCATGATTAAGTAATTTCAATTTTTAAGTAATTTTTTTGTGATATTATATATTTTATTTAGCTGTATAAGGAAACATAATTAGACGACATACTCATATCATTTCAAAATTGAATTTGATATGTTCTTATTCTTTCTTTTCTTTTAAGTTAATAATTAGATTATTTATATTTATGATTAAAGTGATCTATTTCCTCGTACGTAAAAAATTTACGTACGTCAATGGCAATATTATATTATTTAATATTGACAATCTTAAAATTCAATAAAAATACCGTGCATTACAAAAGTTAACGTGGCCGAAATTACGAGTCGTTTCGAAGGGAGGTAACTACAACCAAGAGATCCGTGTGTCTCCGATGGCAAGGTGACGGCGAAAAGGAAAGACAACAAGGTAACTTGTGAATCCTCCGGTACTCGTAACGTTTTCGCGAAGACAGGCGGGAGTTGCGGAGGTGGTCCTGACGTCTTTACGATGAGAATTCGTCTCTATAAAACTGTCCCGGTCTTCCTATACCGCCCTTGCGGACTGCAGGCTCCGACGTTGTAACGTTGATACAATGCGCTCGACGGAAACTAAGAATAGCTAGGTAGCCGTCCAGGAACGTGCGATAGAATGGAGCGCGTGCGACGATGTTCGTAGTCTAACTGTAATATAAAGGACAGGGGAATTATTCATGTGACGTAATGTCTGAATGTATTATCGAGAGAGATGAATTATCGTCAATATTATTATCTTTCATTTCTGTCCGAAAATTATATTAGCTAAAATTTTGTTACAAATTGATTATTAAAAAATAATTTATTTGAAATATACGAGATATTAGCATCATAAATCTCGAAATATGATTTATTCAGGAGTACAAAGTATTTTGAGTTAAACGATGGGAATTCATTGATGTCCGACGGATTAAAACTTACGGATTTACATTCAGATTTATGTCCGGCGGCACCGTCTCTTCCTCTTTGTTAAAACCTCTCCGTAAAAGAACTCAGCGGGCCGTCTCTTCTCCCTTAATTTAAATCGTTTCATTAGGCACCATGAGAAGAGGAGGACTAGGAATCCGTCGGGACGGAGAAAACTCGACGAGCATGCGCGACAAAAATTGCACGGGAGGGCATCACTGTTAAATGTTAACAACTAGAGAATTCCGAAGGAGGCGCGGTCCTTTGATGCCCTCGCAGAAGAGTTTGTGGGGCACCGGGAGGTCCAGTGAAGCGCGGGAATGTTCTGAGGGAGACTGGCACCGGGTACGGTTTAAGACACCATGCTTACTTGCTTGCTTGCTTGCTAAGTAGCGGCTTCTACTGGCGTGTCTACGCGTCCTCGGCTTCCGAGCGCGTCTCATCTTTTCGCATTGCAGACGACGACGACGACGACGACGACGACGACGACGACGACGACGACGACGACGACGACGACGACGACGACGACGACGACGACGACAACGACGACGACGACGACGACGACGACAACGACGAAGAGGAGGAGGACTGATGTCGGTTCGCTTTGCCGTAGTCCATGGCTGTTCGTCTACGTCTCGGCAGGATTGATGGCCCCTGTGCTACGTGCCCGACGTATCTACTTCTCTCCTTCGGTCCCCGCGCCGATCGGAGTCATTTGAACATCTTACATTTATGGAATATCTCGAAATCTCCTTTTTTCCCCTTTCTCCGCCAATGTCGATGGTCGGCAATCGAGCGATTGTTCCCGTCCGCCATCTTCGATCCGATCTGCCAAGCCTTTTATCTATTGGAGCATCTGACTTTTGCGGTACGTATCCGTGAGGAACCTGTTTAGGATGCTTGTAGTTCTCGTGTAGTGTAGTTCGCATTATCGCAGTCTCAATGAACTTTTTTCCATGGAGTACATTACTGCAGCCTGTACGACACGAAAATAAGTATTTTCGTACAGCGCGCATTGATGATACTACGAGATCGGCGTGATGCTCGACAACGATTGGAGAAAATCAATTGAAGGATTTGTTACAACAGTGGGCTATCTCATATTTTGTGGAAACAGAGTAAATGAACTCTACAGTTAAAATACGGGGAAAATACCAATATCATTCACAGAAAGAACAGTTTTGCTAAAGTCTAAAAATTTAGCTAGATACAGATTTGAAAATAATTTTGTTGGACATCAAGGTATATATAAGATGTTTAAACTAGCTATTGTCAATATTTTTTTCAGCGATGCTTATCATGTTTTGAGATTTAAAATTGTTTTGATGGTCCAACAAAAAATTTATATCTAGTTAAATTTTTAGATATTTTAGCAAAACTACTATTCTTTCTGTGTACGACTACATTGTGGGTTAGCCCTTCAACTTTACAGTTCATTTACTTCGTTTTCTTACAGAACGTGGATTAGCTCATTGTTGCAGCAAACCCTTCAATTGCATGTCCGTGAAAGGATGCAAAGTGATACATATTACGTGTTCATGTATGTGCAATGTACGGACGGTTACGGACATCCCTGAAAGACGCGTTCCACGCCACTGAGGAGCCGGCTGTGGCGTTTTTCTGCCTCTGCTGTCTGATAGTCGAACGAGCCGAGAACCCGCATTCCACATTTGCGAGACAAGCGTGTCTCGAATCACTCGTCGCGATTCCTCGTCAGTGAAAAGAGCGTCGCGTCGATCAAAGCGATCTCGCGCGAGTTGAGAAAGAGGCTTTGGAAAAAGGTTCTAACCGCTAATGACGTTAAGAGACACTCATCTCTCTGCGGTCGAATGTCTCGTAAATCTTTCCAGTGATGCGTCTAGTCTCCATCCAGCTTGCCAAGAGATGACATCCAGATATACATTGATTTAAGAGGAAGTTAGCAATATAATTCAGTTATTAATTAATTAATATTCAACGACATATCATAAAACAAAATTAGCCGACGTTGTCGTCCCGATGCCACTGACACAAAGATATACTTTTTTTTCACATACATCTCTTCGTGTTTTCATTTTCGCAAACGTCAACGAGCAATGTAAAATAACGTGAGTAATAACTTCGCCCAAAATATATTTATTAAATCGAAAATGTGTATAATCTTGCCAAGACAATCCTGTTTGCAAATAAGAAACAAATTTCGTTGGTATGATAAATACCAACGGAAATTGTGTTATTTGGCAAAATGCATAATGAGATTTGCACAAATCTTATGCTCCATCTACATTTGTTTGTTGGGGAATCATATAGATATGATCTCATAAATCCGTCATACAAAATTTTCAAATCTTTTGATTTGCGTCTTTCGGAGAACATTTGGCTTGTAACGTTGATTCTATGATGATGGGCGGGCAGGAAAGTGGAGGGAAGGAAGTCTACAGCTGTTATCCATAATTCAGAACTGCATATTACCACTAAGTCGCTAAAATCAGCCGTATCTTATAATTTCGATATTTATCTTCAGTTTCTCCCTCGAAAGTGACATAAGGGTAATGAGATGCGAGCCATTTCTGTATGCCAAGCACTTTGCATACGATTTCCAACGTATAGCGGAGACATTCACGATCAGCAACGGTATAATTATATTCGCAGGCTTTCATTATCGTATCATTGCCAGACGTTACATTGTAACGTCTGATCGTGCTAATTCGATCAGACATAGTAATTGGAGTTCCTTCTTCTTATATTAATGGGTCTTGCCCTCATATGAAGATCAGTCCGACCAATGTGGTACTCAGTAAATACCAATTAAATAACCAAGATTGAGAAAGTTACTTTGTAGTTATCATTACAAGTTATCGATTTTGACATTACAATTACCAAACAGTTACTTAAAAAATAACAAACTTTTCAATTACTTTTCTGTTAATTTAAAAAAAGTTTTTTGCATGGTTATTTTAAATATAAGAATTTTATACATTTTTAATATTACTAAATTATTTTACTTGTTATACTGAACATTTAATATATTATACGCTATATTAATTATATTAAATTAATATATACATTTGGAATCAAAACTAAAAGATACATATTAAGTCATGATCACATACCGAATGATCTTACAATTAGTTTGATTTTGAACACATAATCCATTTACAGATGATGATTAGATAGATATAGATACTTACATTACAATCGCAAGAAATAATCACTGATTGTTCACTGAATACTGAACACTTTTGATAAATTCACGTGACAAATAAATTTGATACAAAAGTAATTATAAGCGTAATCACATTAGTTATTAATTATCAAAAAATATAACTAAGTTATAGTTATAAATAGAAAGGAGGAACGAAATTACATACATACTGATTCAGAATAACTCCGTGTCCTTATAAAAACATGTTCTTAACTGAATTTTGAGATGATTTTTCCTCTACGAAAATTTTATCCGACACTTACTTTCTGAGTTATTGAAAGATAAAGTTAGCGAATTGCGGGCCGTGTACAGAAGATAAGTAGGAGCGGCGCACTCACTGTCCGACGCAAGCGCTTACGAGGGGCACTTATTGAGATCAACTGTTTTAAAGACATAGAGTTATTCTGATTCACATAACACATTCACTCTCTCTCTCTCTCTCTCTCTCTCTCTCTCTCTCTCTCTCTCTCTCTCTCTCTCTAGCTCTCTTTTTCTGTCAGAGATTCGTAGAGATTCGATGTCTTTATACTATTGTAACTTGACGGACCATTAACATAAATTTCATAACCGTGAAGACACCTCACGTTCCCAGGTTTGAAATTGTTAATTAATTTGCTCCTAAGGGCAATGAAATATTTCATTTCGAGGAATATTTTTTTTAATTCGTAAATAATTGAATTAATAAAAAATTTAATATTAATTGTAACGTTGAGAGAGAGAGAATTATAAATTATTTTATAGTAGTAAATATTGCAAAAAATAATTATAATCATTGACATGTTTGATATTGGCTACAGTATGCTACTACAAGTAAACATTGGTTCATTTAACATTATGAAGAGATTATTCACGTGCTGAATCATAGTTGCAGTGACTTATCACCTTTAGCTGCATTACAAGAGACCGATAAATCAGATTTATATTTATTCCTAATACTCTTCGTAAAAACATATCTGCTTGATTGCTATCATCGAGCACAGTCTTCGTGTTGAATCATGTCGGATTGTATATGTAACGCGTTCTTATTTCAAATGATTTTGAATTGAATAATTAACCGGTATTAATTATATTAGGTGTAGTAAAAAGAAATCCATTATTTTTGCATGAAATTAAATGGAAAAATAATGGATTTCTTTTTATTACACCTAATATATAATTATTAATAATAATAAATCGAATAGAATCGTTCGTAAATCGTTCTTGTGATATCGTTTGAGTGTGAGTAAATCTATGAAAGTTATAATTCTTCTGATATTTTTAAAAGAAAAACGAACTTTTGCTTTATTTATTGATTAATTTGTCACATGAGAACGTGTCTTCTATTATTTTTCAACGGTTATCAAATTTATCCGTCAAGTTACAATTGCAGTTTAAAAACATCGAATCTCTAGTAGAGGTGTGTGTGTGTGCGCGTGCGTGCGTGTGTATGTGTGTGCGCGCGCGCGCGCGCGCGCGTGTGTGTGTGTGTGTGTATCAAAACAATCCTATGTCTTGAAGACAGCTTAAGACAGCTCAACGAGTGCCCTTGTAATCGCTCACGTCGGACGGTGAGTGCGCCGCTCCTGCTTACCCTGTGTACACGGCCCGTAATTCGCTAACTTTATTTTTTAATAACTCAAAAAGTAAGCATCGGATAAAATTTTCGTAGAGGAAAATTCGTCTCAAAATTCAGTCAGAAACGAATTTTTACAAGGTTGTCCTGTATATTCTTAAAATAACGATACAAATTAAAATAGAATTTTTAAACGATATTTAAAAGTTGCTTTTAATTTTATAAATATTTTGGGATATTCCGGAACATTCTTGGAATGTTTTTTTAAAATTTTAGAAACATTTTATGAATATTTCACAAATATTTACTGTTATGTGTTATATAACTGGGTATGTGTTATATGTGAAAACTAACTTATTTCACCACGAGTTAATCTTCTATATAATTAATGTATGTCCTTTCAATGCGAGTTTTAATAACTTTCTTAACGATCTTAACGACATCGAAATGACATCGTTTCGAGGAATTACTTCTAATTCAGGAGAACTCTCTGTAAGTTGAATTTTCGATTGGGAACGGAAGATGAATTTGTAAATGAAGGGGGAAAGACAGAAGTGTGTGTGTGTGTGTGTGTGTGTGTGTATTAGAAAAAAATAGAAAATACAGTAACACGATGCTACTTCACTGTCTGTCGTGTACTCCACAATCGCAGAGGGATACTTGTCCGCGGCACTCTACCCCCCTCTCTTCCTCCCTCTCTTCGCGAATCGTTGAGACGCGTCTCTTCCGAAAAGGGGGCCGCACGTGCACCGTAAAACCGAGTGTCTCACAAGCTGTCACTCGTCGAAATTTGTGGTCGGTAAGCGGAAAAGGGGACGACATTTCGGGCGGCCGGGCCGTCAGATCGCGGAAACATGGTCAAGCGTGGCCAGGCCGGCCAGGCCGACCAGGCGATCGGCGCTGACGCCAGACGGTCGACTACTTGCGCGCGCGGTGCATTCGAACAGCCGCTCGCTCGGTCTCTCTCCGCACACGTCGCATGCTAAATATAAAAGCACCTCGCGGGCACCACACCACCGCGGTTTGTATGCCTACGCCATCTTGCATGGAAGAGTCATTTGCGTTAGTCCTGCCCACAGAGGGCAGCCTGGCTCCGCCTCCGGTTGCCGGTTGTACATAAGCAGAACCATCTTTATTACCCTCGGGCACTAACCGTAAAGGAAGCGAGCCGAAGACCGTTCAGTAGGAGAGAGAGAGAGAGAGAGAGAGAGAGAGAGAGAGAGAGAGATAGAGAGAAAGAGAGATAGAGAGGTTCGATGCCGTGGATCGGTGTGGATGGGTAAACGTGCTGTGCGATGAAGGAGAAAGAGAGAACGTCTTTCCTCTCACGGTCGAGATCGAGTGGCCGTTTCGTGGATCGGCTTGAAGAATTATGGTATAAAGTGGTAGGGCATGACGGTGCCGTAGGCATAGTTTGTCTTTATAACGTCTGCTCGGCCAAGGTGGAACTTCAAACGAGCCGCTGATGGCTCCAAGTGGCTGACCGAGGATATAAATTCACAGCCCACCTCGCTCACCCGCTCGGGCTTTTGCTCTCTGCGTTTCTTTCCGTCGGCGAGAGAATCTTCTCTCTCTCTCTCCGCTCTGCCTCTTCTACAATCTCTTTCTTTCGATCCATTTTGCTTCTTCTCGCACAGCCGGGATCTCCACTCATCCGATCCTGGCTTTCGTTCTCTTCGACTTTGACCGAACACACTGAACGTAATCCGCATTTCTCTTCTCTTCGCATTCGAGGTACATTTCAAATCTAATAAACTTTAATATTTATATCGCGAAGTAGGGGAGAGGAAGTAATATTTTTATATTTCGATCGCACATCGTGTTACGATCTCGTTACGATCATAAACTGAGTATTAAAAATGATATGGAATAACATTAATAAAGAGTATATGCTTGAAAAGAGGCAAGGAGTAGTGAATTATATTTTATCGCCGTCTCCCCTCGTATAAGCTCGTATTCTTCCATATTTTTATATATCGACAGTATACATGTCTCTATTCGGGTAGGACAAAGTAGGTAGCTCTCTGAGAAGATATGAGTCAATAGCAATAAATCTATCGGGGCGAAAACAAAGGGGAAAAAAGGGTAGACGTGCTTCTTTCCTAGATGTACGAGAGATCAAGGTAGGCTATGTAACCGGAATCTTATGGAAGAGCCGGTGTCATCGATACCACAGGTAGCGTAAAGAATAGAATAAAGATACACGGTGGCGTCAAGTCGATCGACGTAAATGGATTCGGTTCAGAATACCATTTACACGCGGCAGAGTGTTGCGGGTCAGGTAATACGCCAATATAGTTTACTTAATATTTTGCAACGTCAGTGTACAAAATATTAAGAGA